AAAAAAAAAAAAAAACACAAATGTAAATGAAAAATCTGTCAAAGTTGTCCTGAAATCTCCTTACATTTGGACTTTTTTTGCGGAGGCTGGGTTTGAACCTGCCACTTCCTGCATATGGGGCCAGCACCCTACTCCTTTGAGCCATAGGCACCGCCCTTGAGGGTCTCACTTTTGCTCAGGCAGGTCTAAAGCCCCTGAGCTCAGGCAATACACCCACTTTGGCCTCCCAAAGTGCTAGGATTACAGACATGAGCCACTTCACCTGCCATCAGTCCTTTCTGAATCACTCTCAGCTCCACTCCGTAGCCAGGATTTCACACTTTGTCACCCTGCCAGCCGTGAAGACCACTTGTAAAAGAAACCTCCATGTCAACTTCTGAATTCCTTCCAAACAGCTAGAAACTGAGTTTTCGAGTTCATGTACAGCCATGACCCCTCTTAAAAACCCAGACTTCCTGGCTGTTGAGCTGGGCATCACTGTTTACCCACTGCTGTGTATTACAGAAGAGAGCCTGTCCCCTCCCATCGTGTAGTCTACTTCTCCATCCCTTCACTCTGGGTTGGCCAACAAGCATGATTAAATGGGTTCCAGGTGGCGCCTGTGGCTCAGTGAGTAGGTTGTTGGCCCCATTACCGAGGGTGGTGGGTTCAGACCTGCCCCCGGCCAAACTGCATCAAAAAAATGGCCAGGCGTTGTAGAGGCTGAGGCAAGAGAATCGGCTAAGCCCAAGAGCTGGAGGTTTCTGTGGGCTATGGTACCACCACACTCTACCAAGGGTGACAAAGTGAGACTCTATCTCTAAAATAAATTAATAGGTTCCAAACAGAAGCTCAAAAAGAGCTTGTGCTTTAGATATTGGAACCCAAGACCTAAAGGAACACTCATAGCTAGCTTGGTGGGGACAATAGGCCACACCAAGGAAAGCGGAGTGCTTACAAAGCAACAGATACAGGGTATACCCTTTCATGTACCATGCATCATAGGGGCTGGAAGCATTAATATCACTGTGTTACAGATGAGGAAACAAGGGCACTCACAGGTCAAGGAATCTGTCTAAGGACTCATAGCTTATGAATGGCAAAGATAGGAAAGAACTTGGGACTGTCTGACCCCAGAGCCCAAGTTCTTAAGACATGACATTACTATACAACTCTGAGACCTGGACATAGGGCATTATAGTCCTTTAGTGGAAAGAAAGGAAGAACTTCCTCATTTTCCATGCCAATTAATTCCTCTTTCTTAACCTGAGAAACATAACAAAAACACCCTCAGTATGAAAATTAGAAAATTTAGCTGAGTGTGGCAGCACATGGATAGTCCCACCTACTCAGGAGACTGAGGCAGGATCCCTTGAGCTGAAGAGTTTAAGTTGCTATGAGCTATGATGACACCATGGTACTCCAGCATGGACAACAGACCAAGACCCTGTCTCAAAAAAAAAAAATTTCCTTTTTCTCCTTGCCCTCTGCCCCCTCAAAAGTAAGGCATCTGGGCTCGGTGCCTGTGGCTCAGGTGGCTGGGGCGCCAGCCACATACACCTAGGGTGGCAGGTTCGAATCCCCAGCCCAGGCTCGCCAAACAACAATGATGGCTGCAACCAAAAAATGGCCGGGCGTTGTGGCGGGCGCCTGTGGTCCCAGCTACTTGGGAGGCAGAGGCAGGAGAC